TCCAATATGTTATTGAACAGGACTCCAGAGGGTTTCCTTTGCGCCTTAGCGGTGTGGAAGATATAGCCAATCTCCTGCTGCGAGCGCGTAATAGCAAGCCTGTTGGCAAGCGATGGGCCAGGCGGTTTGTGGACTCACAGCTTGCTCTGAAAACCAAGTTTAATCGTCCATATGATTATCAAAGGGCTCTTCAAGAAGACCCTGTGGTTTTTTTGAGTGGTTTACGCTATTCTGCAACATGATGACCAAGTATGGAATCCAAAAGGAGGACCTATACAATTTCGACGAGACTGGCTTCATGATGGGCATGATCACTGCGTCAATAGTGGTAACACGCGCTGATTGACGTGATAAAGCAAAGTCTGTCCAGCCTAGCAATTGTGAATGGGCTATGGTCATTGAATGTATCAATTCGGGCGGGTGGTGCATCCCTCCGTTCGTGATCGTCAAGGGCGCATATCACCTTGCCAGTTGGACCACGGAATCGGGTTTTCCGGGCAACTGGGTTATTAAACCCACGGCTAATGGATGGACGGATAATCAGACGGGCTTTGACTGGATTAAACACTTCGACAAACATACTAAGAACCGAACGAAGGGCGTCTACCGGATGCTTATTGTTGACGGCCATGAGAGTCATTTATCAGCCGAATTCGACGATTACTGCAAGCAGAACAATATTGTAACGGTCAGTATGCCTGCACATTCGTCGCATCTACTACAGCCATTGGATATTGCCCTTTATTCGCCTTTAAAACGCGCATACGGTGATGACATCAACCTATTCATCAGAGCCTCCATAAACCACATCACTAAGTCTGAGTTCTTTATTGCCTTCCACCAGGCCCACAACAAGATGTTTAATGAGGAAAACATCAGGTCTGCTTTCCAAGGCGCTGGAATTTCACCATGGGACCCAGACCATGTCATCAAAAAGCTTGTTGTGCATTTACGGACGCCTACACCTCCTATAGCCAACCCTTCAACACCACCACCTTGGCAGTCGCAAACGCCCTCTAACCCACAACAAACCGTCTCACAGTCCAACTTTATCAAAAGTCAGATCTCTGCTCATCAAGGAAGCTCACCAACACCAATTATTGCTGCAGTTGAGCAATTGTCAAAAGGTGCGCAGGCAATGGCGCACTCAATCACTATTTTGACTGATCAGCTTCGTACCCTTGAGGATGCGAATGCAGCACTTGCTAAGCGTCGGAGGGCCAAAAGGTCATATGTGCAGCTTGGAGGGGCACTTAGTATAGAGGAATCTCAGGTTTTGCTGGAAGAGAAACAAGAAGGTAAACGTCCAGCGCCTCGAGAGGACGACGAGGGGGGTCCATCAAAGAGAGCCCAGCCAGCTGGGAGACGCTGTGGTGTGTGTGGTGAGACCGGGCATAATGCACGAACCTGTTCTAAGGATGTCGAATCATCAGGAGATTCTGATAGCGACAACTAATAATTGATTTAATGCGTTGTGGTTGAGAAATACTAGATGTTGTTGTGGATGTGGGATAAAACGTCCGGCTGACTGGTCCGGCCGGCTGACTGATGAACCACGTTAGAAGCTAAGCATAATAAATAAGGAATAGCTTACGCTAGAGACAAACGTTGATACTCGGGGTGACCCGGATATCCTGCCGAATACGAACAACATGGTATCGATGTGAGCTGGTCCAGTGACGATGGAATTTGAGTTTTCTGAGTCTCACCAAAAGCGCGGGGTTTCTTTGAGATGAACTTAACGACGGACGTCGGCAATTGGCCTGCACATCGCATTGAGCAACGCGTCTCCTCATCCAAACGAGGAACGAACGCGGGGAAGGGGGAACCGAACCCGAGATTTTGGAACTGGCTGCCGCCCATCAGACAAAGAGAGTGAAAGCTGACAGTTTTCACCCCAACCATCTCCTCAACATCACCAGCTCGTGGACCAAAATATCAAGTCACCTCCCCCGTCAAGATTTCGGAGCCTCTCGGTCAGAATGGAACTCATCAAAACCTCGGAAACATGGCGACTTGTTGCCTTAGTCCCATTTCTGGGCTTAGTTTACGGCGCGTACTCCATGTACAAAGCGCGCAGCTTCTTTCGACGGCTTCAGCGCCTCGGCTACCCAATGCCCCCTCACCACCCTATCTGGGGTCATCTTGGTGTCATTGCGAGCGTCATGAAGGATCTACCGCCCGACCTCATGCCTACAGTGGCTCTTGGCGAATACTTCCGCCGACGGTACCCTCATCTGGACCAAGCGTTCTATCTCGACCAGTGGCCCTTCTCGAAGCCGATGCTTGTCCTCCTGTCCCCGGATGCAGCACGTCAAATCAGTCAAGGTGTAGCGCTACCAAAGGATCCAGGCCAACATGAGTTCCTCACACCTTTGACCGGCGGCCACGACTTGGACACGATGGAGGGCGATGAGTGGAAATTCTGGCATAACGTCTTCAGCCCCGGCTTCCGTGTTTCGAACATCGCTGCTTTGGTGCCGAACATGGTCGAGATGGTCAGCGTCTTTTGCGAACGTCTTCGTCAGCAGGCAAGAAGGGGTGACAAACCGTTTCACCTGAGCCCAATGGCGCTCGATCTCACCATGGACCTCTCCAGCAAATCGATCTGGGATCATGAGCTGCACAGTCAGACCGGATACAATGAGTTTTCCGCGGCTTTAGCTTCGCAGCTGAGCTGGCTTCACTACTATGGAACCTCACCACTGAAGGACTTGAACATCCTCCGTCCATTCATGCAATGGTACAACGCCCGGCGAATGGATACCTACATCGACAGAGTGCTGTCTCAAAAGCCGAGACCTGGTATGAGAGACAAGACTGGAGCGATTTCGGTATTGGACACGGCCAATATCCCGCGAGATCCAGTTCATGTCAAGGTACTCCCCAAGGTCATCCGCTCCCAAATCAAATTCATGATGCTTGCGGGATATGACACCACCGGTTCATCAATAGTGTTTATGATTCATCTTCTTTCAAAACATCCAGAGGTTCTTGCGCGCGTTCGTGCGGAACATGACGATGTCTTGGGTCCGGATATCTCTGCGGCACCAAAGTTGATAGCAGCCAATCCAAAGCTGCTGAACCTTCTGCCTTACACAACTGCCGTCATCAAGGAGTCTTTGCGGTTCTACCCTCCTGGAGCAACCTCGAGATATGGAAACCCTGACTTCCAAATCGTGATAGAATCGTCGAAGACGGAAGGCAAAGACGGTGTCACAGGGGGCACTTTAGCTCTACCGACCGATAGAATTGTCTGTATGGCTATTCATCATGGCATCCATCACAACCCACGCTACTGGGAGAGGCCCCATGAGTTCATACCGGAGCGGTTCTTGGAGAAAGCCAAAGACGATCCACTTCAGCCCCCCGCCAACGGCTGGCGCCCCTTTGAACGCGGACCTCGAGCGTGCATCGGGCAAGAGATGGCATTGACTGAGATCAAGATGGTCTGCGCTATGACTGCGAGAGAATTTGATTTCAAACCTGGGTATGACGAGATGGGACCTCAGCCTGCGCCTCAGATCGATAATGACCATGTGTATTTGGTCAGTCGTGGAGGAGCTGCGAATCCGAGTGGTTACTATCCCTGTCGAATATCATACACAACAAGGCATTCAAACGTGCAGCCTTGAACTGAAAGCACAGGCAAAGTGGCTTTACAAGAGGGACTTTACAACCAGTACTTCACTTGATCTGGGGGAGACGACAAAAACAACGGTCGGCACAAGACGAGGGTTTGGACAAATGTATGTCAGTGGTTGATTCGAAATTAGGACAAGATAAGATAGCCAATGCCACAACAACACATTAACCACCCAGGGAATGAATCATATGTCTTTTGAGTCATCTACCCGATGCTTATTGCCGGGGAATTCCTTTTCCGGTCGGAATCGACATAAAGTGGTAATGAGTGGTGATGATACAGATTAGGCACTGAACTAAGTCAAAGCACCCACTTCTGGCCCACCCCTGCTTCTGGCCCACCAAAAAAATGATGCCATTACAACAACCACCACTTTATTAATCAACTATCGACTGCGCATCTCTGCCACTATTATACAGCTTTCGGCCTCACTAGGGTAATCAGAAGCACTGGATTCATCTGTATCATTGATGACATCGCCAGCCTTAATCTGGGCCTGCCGTACGTTGCTGATGGTCGCGAACTTCGTGTTTGGGTCGATGTGAACAGCCTTCCTCTTCCTAGTGATGCTGTTGTTGACTTGGGCC